CCCCAAAACCCCAAAACCCCAAAACCCCAAAACCCCGCTAAAAATTTTAATAGTTGAATATTTATTTAACACAATGCTTATATTGCTTTAGGATTCCATCTAGCAGCTGAAGAGAGCCTTCTCCTGCCTCACGAGGTTTTAGAGGCAATGAAGATTCATTAAGAAGCTCAATAGAAGGATCATTAACTTCTCTAGTCATTGATTCCTGCACCATAGATTTTCTAGTATCAGTTTTATTGGAATTTTGCTCACTGTGAAGATAGCTATTCTCCTCTTCCATTTTCTGGCTTTGCTTTAAGTCTATAGTATTTTCAGCATACTCTCTTTCATAATTCTTAATATCTATCTTGATTTCTTCTTGCAAGTCATCAAGGTTTGTACCCTTTTCATAAGGACTGATATCATTCTTGAATGTCTCTTCAATAGTAGCTTCTTTTACTGTATCAAGATGGGCTGGTGCCTGGATCTGATTATTCGAAGTATATTTACTCTCTTTATCCTCAGGAATTGATCCCTTACTCTGGTCTTGAAGATGATGGCTCAATTCATTTTGTATATAATCCTGGATGACTTTACTGTTTGAAAAATCTTCCTCTGTCATATATTTACGAGATTCATTATTTTGAGACTGGCTGATTTCTTGAGTCTCATCTCTCTCATTCAGCTCGATGTTTGATTGATTCTGAGGCTCTTCAAGGATATTAGTAAGGTTTTGTGATTGAGACTCTTCTTCTCTTTCATTTAGGTCTCTAAATTCTTGCTCTTGATTAAAGGAAATAATCTGGCTATCAATTGCTCCTCTGCCAGAGTTGAGCAAATCCATAGCATCTTTAGATGTCATATCATATTCATTCTGGGACTTTTTCGATGTCAAATAATCTGAAATGTCTCTAAGTTCATCAAACTTCTCTTCTCCAATCGAGCCCATGTTGAGTAAGAGGTTCTGGCCGGAATCGTCAATGTCGTAATCAAGCTTTAAGACGACTGCATCTTTTGTTGGACTTCCAGAATTCATCAGATTCTTGATATCCCTCTTCGCCAGTCTTCTAGGAGATTTCTTAGACTCACTCACTTGCTTTATTTTCTTCGTTATTTTCTTGGACTTTTTATTAATCCTAGGCTGGAAGGAAGGCTCAGTATCCTTCTTTATTTTATCTAGCTTTTTACGATTCTTTTCCTGATAATCCTTTTGTCTGTCAGTGAAGCTCTTCTTTCCTGCTTTGGATAGGATATCGCCGCTCTTCTTATTGACAGTTGGCTTGAATGTAATATCTGAATATTTTTGTTCCTTCTCAAGTTCATCATCTTTCCTTTTTCTAGAATATGCTTTAGTATAGTCGTTTATCTTCTGTAGGTATAATTGGTGATTGTATTTTGAAGAAGATGTTTTGGAAGCAACTTCTTCAAGGATCTTGTCCTCTTCTAACTTATTTCAATGCCTCTTTAGCTTCTATCTCACTCTTGATTTTCTCAATTTTTTGATTATTTAGAACTTTCGATTTCTTTTAGCCTATTCTGATCATAAATAGGGTGATATTTAGCCTTGACCAATTTCTTAGACCGTTGGCCAATATGTGGCTGGAAGGACAATGAGCTGATCAGTTCTTCTTCCATCTCAGTCTTATTTATTCTTCTTGTTTTCGTTATACACCTGACCACACTTGTGGAGCCGGTTAATCATGGAGTCAAGCTCTTGCCTGGATAGGTTCTTATTTTAAGCTGCTATCAGTCTCTGATGGCGCATCTTTGCATTTACCATGACTTTTTAGAGGGTCAAAGTCTGGGATGAGGTCTGGGATCTGTGATTGAGAGGACTTTTGGTGCTGTGCAATAGGGGCATCTGGAGGAGTTTCTAGGCTTAAACTCTCGAATCTTTTATGCTCCTTTCTTTGATCAGCATAAGTACCGTTGTAGATATTCATGATCTGTTCGTTTATTTTATTTCTATATTCCTCTTCCTCTTTCTTTACTTCTGAATCTAAAGAGCACGATTGGAGTTATATTTTTACAGAAATGCAAAGTACTGAAGAATTTTTAATAAAATCTCATACCTCTACTCTCATCAGCTACTGCTTTAGAGATCTCTTCAACTAGAGGCCACATGTTTTGTAGCATTTTGTCACTTTCAAGCATTTTCATAACTTCTCCATCTTTTTCATTGCTGTAGAAAACGGGGTTCGTTAAGTCAACTTTAGCATCTTCGTTCCTGTTTTCCTATAAAATTGTTGCGAAATGAGATTTCTTTCAAAATGAGATAAACAGGTTTATTGAAGCTTAAAAATACCTTGTCATCAACATCAGGCTGCTGGTTATGAGAATCGTCCATATTTCTTAATCTTATTGTTAAAAATAATTTTCAACCCAAATTCTTTCCGAAGGGGTTTTGGGGTTTTGGGGTTTTGGGGTTTTGGGG